ACTCAAGTTGCATCTTACAAAATTCCCTCCAATTAAAGAAGTATTCTTGATTTTGATATTTTCAAATGATTTGTTTTTAAGATCAACCTTCATGTCCACTAATAAACTAAGTCCATTTGATCCTGATTGAATAAAATTTACATCTATGCTTGTTATTCGTACTAAAAATTTGATGAATTCTGTGATCCTTTTGTTATCCTTAATCATATTGACCAGATCCGCTCTTTCCTTTTCATATGTTTCTTGAGAATAGTCATCTTTATTAAATTTATGATTCTAAATATTCCTCAAGAAATTAGTTATTTTCTTTACTTACTTCTTGATTTCCCTAATATTCTCTTACTTGTAGTTTAAAGATTCATAAAACTGATTATTGTTTGTCTTCGACAGGAATCCAATAATGTCTGAAACTTTCTATTTTCTAAGTATATCAAGGATCTTCTAATACAGAGATTCATCTATATCCTGGATGTAGGTTAGCATCTCATAAAGATCTTCCTTCATTTAATAAACTTCTTCTTCATCTTCCCTAAAGATAAGATTTATAAACCTTACTTAATTAATGATTGGATCTATTGGATTCCATAATTAGACTTCTCAATAAAAGCCTTTATATGTTGGTCCCACCAACTCATGGTCTTCTCTAATTCTTTCATTTAAGAACTCTTCTCAGCATTCCAATCATTTAAAGTTGATCCTTCTACAATGTTTACTAATTTTTCTATATCAGTGTAAGAAGATTCAGCTAGATTTGTCTCTTTATTGATTAGGTTTAAGTATGATTAGTTTTCCTTTTCAATCTAATCATATACTTATTTGATTGATTGTGACAACTCCTCCCAAATTTTCTTCATCAATTGTTCGGTTTGAGAGAGTAAGGATTTAAAGGCCATTCTTTATTTTGATAGTTCAGATATATCATTAGTCTTTGAGTCTTTTAATTTATTGATTGCCTTTTCTTAAAATATATCGATTGGAATCGTATATTTCAAATCCACTCCATGCTCATATTGGCATTTCACACAAAGTTTCCTTTAACATTAGCACTTGTGAGGAGCCACACATATCAAAATGATGGGATTTTGAATATGATAAGTGCAATTCATTATTTTTAATAATGAATTTCTATTACTCTAACTTGAAGTTATATACTGCAAAATCGATAAAAGTATCTTGTGCATTTTTGTAAAATAGAAGTTCGGGCTTTGTGTATATTTGAAATGAATTGTAGTAGATGTTAATATTCTATTGAGAATTCATTTCAACATCTGAATTACTTGATTTTGTAAAATAATATCGAATATTTTTATTTTATATGAATATTTTTATTTTTGCAAAAACTGATTTCTTTGATTTATTCATTAATTTTTCATCTAAATGTTTTAAGATTGAAATATGAAACCATTAATAATAATTTTTAAGATTAATCCTACTCTTAAACAGTAATAAATTAAGTAAATCTATCATATAATATTATAGATATATATAAAAGAATTTTTGTTAAATTTGTTTTATTAGCTCTTCAAATTTTATATTCTCTCACTTGCTTCTACAATAGACATTACATTATAAACTACTCTCTAATCTGCTATATATTCACTACACATTAATCTTTCTATTCCATTACATCCCTTATCAATCTTTGTTTGTATAGATGGATTTCCAAAATGCTTATTGCATTACAAGTTTGAGATTTCTACTTTAATTTTAGATTAGAACATATTTAAATATTTGAATTATATATATATATAAAAGTACTAATTTATTAAGTATTTATGTATTTAATTTAATCTAAATAATAAAATAGATCTAAAACTAAAAAAATATTCAAACCATCAAGATTGCCGTTACAAATACAGATAATATAATGTCTATGTTAGTTGAACCTGGATTTTAAGGAGTTGTTGAATGAAAGCATGCTTCACATTGATTTATAATGGAATTCCAAATATATATATATGCCGATTTAATAAAGCAAGCTTTAGATTCTGATATAATCTTAGGATCATAAGTCTAACACTTTCCATTTTCGAATAAGCATATTGTATTTTTAGTACCTTCGAAACTTGGTTTAGGGTTACAATTTAAGCCAGATGAAAAGGTTTCATAGGTTTAATCAACACATTTATTTATATTCCAATAACAAGATGGATTACTTTTACATGTAAATTCATCTTTATCTGCATCTGCACATTAAGAAAATGTTTTACAAGTACCATTTTATGAGTTAATTTCTTTTGGGATGAATGCACAAATGGTTGGTTTTGTATCATCGATACCTCCCCCTTAACAAGGTGGTAAGAGTTTAGTAAGCACTACATTATGCTTTAGGAATATAATGAGTACCATTAGAAACACATTATTTACCTGATAAGATGTTTTAACAGTTTAGATTATTTTATGCATTGTAAACTTCTTGACATTCCTTGGCTCTCCAAGATTTAATAGGAGTCTTGTCTTTCCTTCAAATGGAAAACTAAAAATACATAGACCATCAGTTCCTTAGTAACATGAAGTTTCTTCATAGTTAGAGTAGTAGTATTGATAATCTTCACATATTACTGATTTAAAATTTTTTGTTATTTAATTCCAAATACAAGTTTCTTCTTAGGATGGATTAATACATGCATATGATATTAGATAAATAGAATATTTTAAACTACTTAAATAGATTTTTATCCATCAGATACACAATCATTATGATATAATTTACAAATATTATTATCTTAAAAAGTTTTAAATTTAGCATCCTCACAATTAGAATAATTAATTAATACATGAATTCTAAATCCATAAACAGGGTCCCTTTTTAGATTGAATACAATCATTTTAGTTATTTTCACAAAAGTCTCCAAAAATACAAGTATTACCATTAGTTATCCATCCACTCATTTATTATTCGCACTCAACATCAGTTCTGCCGTTAAAATCAGAATATCTATTATCTCTACATCCTTTTTCTCTTTCATCCCAAATACATTTTTATACTCCTTAAGCATAAAGAAAAATAGAAGCAGTTCTATAAGTAGAACATCAACCAATTCCATTTTTTTACATTTGAGATTCAATTAATTACATAAACTATGAGATGTAATATAATTAAGTAAATCATCGCAAGTTTAAGAACGACATTAAGCTAGTATTTTCAGTTTATACACATGTTTAATTTTATATCTTTGAGTTAAAACTAATAGAATAGCTAGCATTTTTAATTGAATCACAGCTGTTATATTATTAATTACAAAAATGAGTCCATGAACATTCTTATTTTTCTTAACAAGCTACTTAAGTAATCAAATTATCACATTATTTAATAGATGTACATCCATAACCAGTAGTATAACATGATGATGGTATATTTAACATTCTTAATCGGTTTTTATTGTGTTAGGTGCTTCATTGCATACACGTGTTGTGCAATTACTAATTATGAATTCATTCATCAGTGTTGCTTTACATGGTCCATCAATAGCAATAAATTTGGAACAAGTAATATAATTACCTTTAAATTCAGAACACTTCATTCCATAATTAATACACTTTAATCCATTATTATGAATTTTGTCATAGTTAAAAGCCAGCTAGTACAAGATTATAAATAAATATTACATTTATATTTTGAAAATTATAATCAATGTAAAAAATATTAGCTTTGGATGATGAAATCAATCCCCTAATAATTTTCTTTAAGATTATCTGAAGAACCATAAAAAGAATTAGGAGCAGCGGCTGTCTCTCTTGATCTATCTGATTAAAATACTTAACAAAATTTTTAAAAAATTAGATTTGAACTAAATTGAAAAAATGGAATATTTATTTTCAATAGGATTGATCCCTCTAAATAAGACACATCTTAATCTTCCAACATTGATGAATTTTAGACAAATTATGGTTAAGAGCTGCTTTATACACAATTGAAAGAAACGTATTTTGTTCCTCTTTTTAGAAAAATATTCACTTCTGGAATCAATTCTTTCTAAACTGTTGATATCTTATTAAATAAGTATAGAATAGCTCAAAAAGAAATCTAGAATGAAAATAAAAAATCAAATCGATAATTTTCTTTGATCTATTCAATGCTTTAACAGGGTTGATAATTATATTTTATTTGAGATTTTAAGAAAATAATCTCTGTTTAAATAATTATTTGAGCTTCATTTGAACTTTTTGTAATCGATCTATGACTCTTAGGATTTCTTTAATGTTATTCAGATAGAAAAATTTTCATTAATTCAGAGTCTACTAAAGATCCTTATTAGATAATTTTTTGCTTGATATTTATTTTAATGAAATAATTGAAGAATTACTTGATTATACTAAAGTTAGATAAATATTAACTAAAGAAGGACTTTAAGGAAAATTTGAAAGCAGAAAATTTCATTTTTTTCATAACTAAAAATAATGATATATGCTGATTACTGAACAATTATTTGTAACTCCAATATTTTAAATGAACATTCAATTAAATTTTTTGATTTAGCTGAGAAATATAATTCTTAAGTTAAACTTGTTTAAACAAAAGTACAATATTATATTATTTATTTCAAGGTTGCCTGATATGATTTAAAAAAATTATTAATGAAAATCTTAATTTTTATTGTTGAAAAGTCGTAATCAAAGTATTTGATTATTAAAGGCATCTCAATATAATTATATATAAAAGTATGCTTATAGTTAATATATTTGAATAAAGTTAGAAAAATAAAATTAATTTTTTGTTAAATGATTAACGAAACTCAAAATAAGCTGATTTACTTAGATTTCTTTTAGTGGCGATAAGGTATCTAAGATTTGGAAATTGACAAGTTGAATGAAATAAGGATGAAACTTGTTAAGACTATAATCAAAATAGCGATAACTCAAGATTATTGTTTGAAGTACTATTATGATGGAATTGTGTTGAGAAAGTAATATTATTTCAAGATTGAAAGCGAATTAATTGTGGATATCTCCTAAAATCCAGGAATTTTGACAAATATGGAATAGATCAAATATCTACAATGGTAAGGTGAATATGGAAAGAATATGAGAAAGTAGGGGAAGTGGATGGCTTTATGGAATGGGGAAGCTCTTATCGAAGTTGCTGGATACTTTGAGAATGGATTAAAGGAAGGCTTATGGAAGCAAATATTTAAAAGTTATGGGGAGTAAAAATTAATTCTATAATTGTAGTTAAGGTTAAGTATATGAAAGTGGAGAGTATTTTTAAAATTAAAAAATAGGTAGATGGAATTATTTCTATCAAAAAAATAAAATGTTATATTATTTTAATTATTTAGTGGTGGAGGATCTTACAATTAAATAGGATTAAAGAATGGTAAATGGATTGAATTATGCGATTAATTTTAAGATAATTGCTAAGTCACTTATAGAGGTGAATATAAAAATGGGAAAAAATTAGGTAAATGGGATATTTTTTATCAAAATAAATATATGTAAATATGATATATTTAAATATATTGTTTAGTGGTGGTGGATCATATGATGAATTCGGCAATGAACTTAAAAATGGGACTTGGATTGAAATTAGTGATGCATTTTATTCGAATTCGGATGCCATTTATTATGGTAAATATAAAAACGGTAAAAAGATCGGTGGGTGGTTTATTGAGGATAGTTTATATTCAATGTAAAATGATATTGTCTATATAAATTTGTTAGTGATTGTGGATCCTATGATGAATAAGGTTAAGGAAATAAAATAGGGAGTTGGATTGAATTATTTGATGGGTTTTATAACCATTCATCAGTCATTATGTCTGGTTAATATTAAGATTGTAAAAGAGTTGGTAGATGGAATTTCGAAATGATTGGAGAAACTGTGTAATATTATTTTATTAAATAATATTTTTTAATATTGTAGTTGTGGTGGAACATATGATGATAATGGGGATAAGATTGGGTAGTGGATTGAGTTGAGTGATGGATATAGATCTAGTTCATTAATAACTTATAATGGTGAATACAAAAGTGGTAAAAAAATAAATAGATGGGATATTAATTATGCTAGTAGAAAAATTTAATAAATGTAACTATCTGATAAAATTTTTAGTGGTGGTGGATCATATGATGAATTTGGTGAGGGAATTAAAATTGGGAAATGGATTGAAATAAGTGTAAACTCTTCACCAGGAAAAGAAATAACTTACTAAGGTGAATATCAAAATGGTAAAAAAGTTAGGAGATGGGATACTTTGTATTAAAATGTGATGATGTAAATCTGTAATATAATGAAATTTTTTAGTGGTGGTGGATCTTATCATAATGAAGGTAATGAAATTAAGATTGGGAAATGGGTTGAGTTAGGCGATTATTTTATGAATTCATAAGTTACCTATAATGGGGAATATAAGGATGGTCAAAAAATTGGTAAATGGGATACTTTATTTAATAATACAGTGATGTAAATATAAAATTGTAGATAAAAATTTTGTAGTGGTGGTGGAATATATGATGATTATAAAGGTTATAAAATAGGAAAATGGATTGATTTGGATTAGGACTTTAGGATCGATAAATAGATAATGTATTAGGGTTAATATTAAAATAATGTAAAAATTAGCAAATGGGATATTTTATATAGAAATCAGAGTGATGTATTTACTGAGATGTAATTATTAAAAATTACTAAAAATTTTAAGCGGTGGTGGATCATATTGCGAAAAAGGAAATGGAATTAAAGTTGGGAGATGGATTGAATTAAGTGAAAAGTTTAAAAGGCATTAAGAAATTATTTACATTGGTGATTATCATAATAGTAAGAAAGTTGGTAGATGGGATATTTTGTTTGGAAAATTTTAGATGTAAATAATAAAAACAATTTTAGTGGTGGTGGATCATATGATGATAATGGTGATGAAATTAAGATTGGAAAATGGATTGAATTAAGTAGTAAGTTTACTGATAGAGAAAAAATTATATTGATTGGGGAATTTCTTAATGGCAAAAAAATTGGTTCATGGGTCGAAAAAACAAAGACCGATAGGGGTATAACCTAAAAAGAAATAATATATGATAATTGATTTATATAAAAATATGATAATATTAAGCATAAGGAAAAATGACAATCATTTGCTATTGAAAAACTAGCACATTTTAAATATTTAGGTGATATATTCCATCTAAATAAAATATCTTAGAACATAAGAAGTTTGTGAAGAAGAATGTACTATTTATATTGTAAAATCTAATTTAAATAGGATCCTCCCTTAAATCATAAGGAATGTAATTGAAAAATTTGGTTTTTTTATCTAGATCAAATTATAAGATTAAATATCTACCTGATTGGGGTTTTCTAGAAAGGTATAATGAATAATGTTATCATAATTGATATGACTATTTTAATTCTTCTATAATGAAATCTTTGATTGTTAGATTTAAAAAAAAATGGTTTTTGATGAAAAAAATTGATCTCCTTTCTATTCCTGATATTGAAGAAACTAAAATTGGACTTGAAAGTGGTAAATAAGTTAAAAGAAATCTACAAAGAAATTTTATTTATTGTATGATAAAGGAATCTGTTCTTTCTGCATTTATATACATATCTTAATATTTTAAATAATCATTTTTGCAAAGGATAGCACTTCCTCTAATGGAGATATTCTATTATGCCTTAAAACCATTTGATTCTGAATGGTTATTAAGAGATTCAGAATAAGAAAAGAACTTATTTATATAAGCCTAATAATATAGATTATAGAAAAAATAACATTTAAGTACTATTCCTAACAGACATTCAAGATTTCCTGGATTATTTGTTACTAAATGAATTCTCTCTCAATCTGGACAGATAAGTAGTTAACCATTCCATTAAAATTAAGTAAATAAATTAGCAAATTAACGATAAAAACCTTAAATTAGAGCACTTATATCAAAATAAAAATTATTTTTGTAAAACATCTAACTATTGATCTTTATGCTGCAGAGAAGGAGAAAAACTTTAAAGAAGAATTGAGATATTCAACTATAGAGTTCTTGATTCATAGTTTTAGTAAATTAATTGATTAAGCTTTTATTGAAATGAATAAGAAATTGTAGATTCTGATGATAAATAAAGAAGGATAATTATCATCAGAATTTGTTTCTATTTAAGCAGCACTTCAAATTACTTAATTTAATTTTAAATATAGTAATTTGATTAATGAAAGTCCTTAACTTAGAAAGAAGAATTCCAATTATAGAATTTTCTTTTCTGTTATATATGTTCTATTTGAATTTCTTATGATTGTAAAAGAATTATCACTTGCAGTTGAATAAACAGATAGAGGAAATAGTTAAATACTATTATAAACTATTCCAACTTAAGAAATAGCAAAGGCTATATCAATTGGATATGGATATTGTCAATTTGGATTATTTAATGATTAAATGTTATCTACCTTAGTTAAATTAACAGCTTTATATTATGATCTATTAGAATTACATACCGAAGGAAAAGCATGGTCAATAAGAACAAATAAATTATTAAAAAAGAAAATCAAAAAATAATAAAATAAAGCAAATAGAGGAAGAAAAAGAAAACAAGATTAACATAATGAAGAAGATAATGATATTGTTGAAAAAGGTTCAGATGAAGAAAATGCATTCAGAGAAGAGGAAGAAGATGATGAGGAAAATGAAGAAGAAGATGATGATGAAAATGAAACTGAAGATGATTAATCTATTTATAAAGAAAAAATATGTAATTTTGTTTCAGAATTTGCAATCATAGTTGATTATAAAGTATTGGAAAATATTTCTTTTTAATCAAAGAAGAGTATATTAATAATAATTATTATTATTAGCAAATTATTAAACAATTCATCAGAACTTAATATTGCAATTTATAAATATTTTAAAAGAATTGTTGATACTCTAAAAGCAGATTGGATCTTTTTTTAATTAGATTTTCTATATGTAATCAATTCAATCATATTAAATAAATATTTAACAGTAATTATATTTTATATTAATTAGTATAAAAGTGAATTCTTAAACTTAATCTAATTATTCAGAAGAATAGGAATCAACTTTTTTTAACTATTTAAAGTTAATAGATTAATGAGTGTAGAATTACTTTCCAGATTTCCTCATGCTGCAACTAAAGATTCTATTCTAAAAAATTATTAAGATTAAGTAGCAGAAGGAGACACTAATTAAGATAAATATTAATATGAAGGACCTAAAAAGAAAGTTATCTGGACTTAAAAAAAGGATAAGATTTGATTGAAAATTATGAAAAATATAAGGATTGTGAAAAATCATTTGATGAATAATTGAGTCTATTACTCAGTTAAAATGGTTTCACTATTAAATCTCCTGCAGAGATTAGAAAGAGAATTAGAAAATTTAAATTGGAAGAAGGAAATGATATAGCAATTGCATTATATCAATAATAATACGAAATGATATCCATGAAGAATGTTGAAATAATTGCTAAGAGTGTTAGGAGTCTATTATAAGAAGTAGGAGAAGAAAGTTTAAATTTGTTTTTCAATAACTTGCTTTCAACACTATAAAATTATATTGATCATAGAGGATAGGAGTAATAATATTTTTATATATAGAATTATTTTTATGTTTACAATGTATTAAAAAAACTAATCAATTGTTATAGTGAATATTTGCTAAGTAAAATAACAGACTATTTCAGATAAATGCTTCTTTATTGCATCCTCATAAGTCACTTTAAACTTACTAGTATCTATTTAACTGTATGAATCATTAAATGCAATTGTTTTGTTGTAATCCAAATTTAATCCTTAAAATTATATATATATAATAAAAAAATACTCCAGATTTTAATTACAAATAACTCTTGCAATTATGGGTATCCTAGACATTTTATTATCAAAATAGAAGATCTACGTATGAAAATTACTATTTCTTTTTATTTTTCTTTTCTCTTTACCAAACATCATAGAATGGAAAATATATAAAAGTAATAAATTTTATTCTTAGTCCTGTTCATTTTTATATTGTCTAATGGATTTATCTCTTTTTGACTCTTAATTAATCAATTATATCAACAATTCCAAGAATTTACATCATTATCATTTTTTAATGCTTCATACAATTTGCAAGATATTATTTCATTAATAACTCATACATTAATCAATAATCAGTATAACCTAAGATATATTAGATGAAATGTATCTATGATATTAGTTAAAATTATAGCGATTAAAATTTCAATAATAGATTACTGAAAACATAATCTAAAAAAAATTAATTATTTACAATATTCTAAAATTTAGGTAATCAAGTGTTCCTAGTAAAATCTACATTTTTTATTTTGTATATCTTCTTTTTAAAACAATAAATGTTTCATAAAAATGATAATTTTTTTTCTTATTAATTTTCTGAAGAATTCTATTTACTTATTTTAAAAGCAAATTCTATTATTGTTAACTTTTATTAAATAAATAAAAATGATTTAAAACAATGAAGAAGTAATAGAAACTAATGAAAACGTCAACGGGAAGTGGGTGAATCTAGAGACTCTGTAGAAAAAATGGTAATAATTATTCCTATTTTTAGCTAATACTTTAACTAAATTGAATTAGTTTGAAGATGCAATATAAGTCTATAAAGATATAATTAAAATTAATCCAACAAATGATGCATCATATTACAAAATAGGTATTCCATATTCTTAATAAATTAAATGATATCTTAAAATAAAGTTTAAGAGATTTAAAATCTTATTAATAAACAAAGGAATTTTATGATTAATGCATTTCAATAAATGTAAATAATTCAAACGATTAATTTGGGAAAGGTTTAATAGAATATATTTATTTAGGTGAATGTTTAAGGGAGACTTATTATTATAATGATGCATTATAATATTATGTCAAAGCTATTGAAATTGATAAATCTAAGTTAGAGTATTACATGAGTTAGGATAAAATATGAAGGTATATAAATTAGGAGAATGCTTAGTCAACTAAAGTAAATATCAAGAAGCATTAGATCTTGATGATACATGTTTAATGATAGATGAAAATAATGCTGAAGCATACGCAAGAAAAAGTATGAATTAATATGAAAAGAAAGGAACATCTTTAGTGTTGTTAGATAGATATGATGAAGCTTTATAAAATTTACAATAATCATAAACTGTATGATAAAATTTGATAATTGAACTTAATGGACTAGGTAACATGAAAAATATAAGTTAGGGTTATATTATTTATGACTTGTGTAAAATTGTAATATATATGTGGTAAGGATGATTATTAGAAAGCAATAGAATATCTTGATAAAGCTTTGGCCATCAATCCTTAATATATAAATTCTTTAGATAGCAATTATCTTTATTTTAAGAATTTTGCCTTTCGCAACTAAATAATTGATTCATTGATTTAATAAAGAAATTTTTAAAATATTTTATTCAACAATAAATTTCTATTTCTTTACCTTTTATTAATTTATTTTATATTATTTTATGATACTATTCTAATTTATAATTATTTAAATTCTACACAAAAATTAACTTTAACTTTACTCAATTAATAAAATTAAATTACTTTATTAGAGAATTATATATTGTTTATTTTATTTTATGATTGATCAATTCTATTAGTTTATTAATCCCTTTCATTACATTATATAACCTCCTAATTGACAATATTATTCTAAGTGGGTATTCTTTATTATGAAAATATATAATTTGCTTTTACATATGTTATCATATAAAAATATTGAAATAATTTTTGATTAATTTTATATTCAAAGCAATTTTTTATGATATTTTATCTTTTTTTAGAAGATTTTTAATTTAAAATAAATCTCAAAAATATTGACTTATTTAAAAAAAAATTATAATTATAACTTAATGAGCCAAAATAGTTTGACATTAAAATAAAGAGAATTTACTATAAATTAATACTAGAGAATGAAATTTAACTATAATTGCAGCATAATTTTGATTCATTAGTATCAAAATTGAAATTCTATATCGAAATGAGTAAGTCCTTATATGCCAATCATTATAATATAGGCATTTTATTATTTATTATTAAAAAAAATCGTCTTAACATATCGTATTCTAATTAAGATAAAATCCTTTCTATTCTAATTCTTTTCAAATTTAAATTAAAACTTAAATAATATCTTTTTTCTTGATTAACTCATATAATACTATCAAATTGTAATTATGTTACATAATAAAGCATCAATTATAATAAAGTGATAATGTAAAAAATAAAAATATAAAAATATGGTTGGATAAAGTATCTACAAAAATTTTATTTGCTATTAATCTGATAAAATCAATATAATATTGACAATTAATGCTTTGCCTTTTTGAGGATTGCTAAGTTATACTATAAATATTCTTCTTTTTGATCTATTTAGTTGTTCTCTAATATAAATATTTGGTAAGACTATTTATATCTTAATTGTTTGTTGAAATTTAATAATTATATAAATCAAAAACTTATGAAATTATCAATTAAACTATATTTCACTATTTAAAACTTAATTTTATAATCCGAAGATGTATTTAGATTGATTTATCTTTAATTTGAAAATTGTAGTAAATAATTTGAAGATCCTCCAAAAATGATTGTATTGATTTGAGTAATGATCTTCAAGATTACTTTGAAATTAACTTTTTAATCCTAGTTCTTTAATAAATATACCATAATCTAAGATTGAAATTTTGAGTAGCTTTCCTCAAATATTAGATATCTTTAATATTAATGTCTATGTTTAATAATTTACTTGACTTTCCCAGTTCCTTTTTATAGGAAATCCTTTAAATAATAGAAATTTAACTCAACAATAACTTAAAGTTCCATTTCACTTAAGGAATTTGAAAAAAGCTGTATTAAATTTAATTAGGTTAAACTTCTTAAATAAATCTTTTGAATCAATAGTTGTTGAAGATTAAGTTTATTATTGGAAGTAGAAAAGAGTAATATACAGCTTGAATTAAAATGAGGAAGTTTAAAACCTTTGATTAATTACTTAAAAGGATTTTATTCCCTTAAAGTTTAGTTAACAAAGATTCAATTATTTCTTGCAAGAATAGATTAATCCTTTCTATAAAAATAAATCAAATCTAAGATAGTTTGTATATAAAACCAATAAACAATGAATAAAATGAGAGAGAATAAGGCATTTTTCTTTGTTTGATAGAAAACCAGATTACAACCTGATTAATTTCAAGTAATGGGATCCAACATTTTAAATGAGCACCTTTCAATTTATCCAGTTGTAACAGTTAGTAGATTTGAATTGAAACTAACCATTAAGAATGGGTAGTAAAACCTTTTATTTGATATAATTGAAAAGAAATTAAAATTTAAATCTTTAATTTATTAATGTAATACTGGAAGAATTGGAAAATAATGACATAGATAAATTAGTTTAAATTTTAGAAGGTAAAATTGAGAATTGAATATATAAAATAATTCTTATTCATTTATTATTGGTAAGTTAAAGATTACTTTAGAAAAGAAATCAACCCATTTTAGTTTAAAATTAAAAATGATTTCCAATAATTGAGTAGGAGTATAATTATTATTCATCATTTAAAAATTAGATTAGAGAAGACAATTTGAACGAGTGGAGGAAAAAAATTAAATAGCTTTAAAGTATTATATGGGTTAGGATTGTTTATGTAAAGATAAATGAATGAAATATATATCTTAATTAATTTAATAGTGATTAAATGGAAAACACTTTAAATATATCAGAAGTGTTAACCAATTTAGAACACCTTAAAATCTTTAATGGATAGGATAATAGAGTCGAAACAACTTAAAAGTTGGAAAATATACAGCAAATTGGAATGATATTCATTAAGATAATAAAATGTTATTAAAATAAACATTATTTTATAGTGGTGGTGGAGATTACAACAAAAAACAGTTGGAGGAATGATAAATGGATAGAACTGAGTGATATATTTGGAAATTATTTGTAAGTCTATTATAATGGTGAATATAGAAATGGTATAATAATTAGCACATGGGGATATTGGATAAAGCGAAAGATGAGAAATTTTGTTTTAATGAATTATAATAATAGAATAATAGTAAAATTTATTTCAATTTTTGGTGTTTAATTATAATAGGTATTTTTATGATCCTTATTTATTATAATATAAGTTTTACTATCTTATCAGAATTTTTATTTTTTTGAAGGATAACTTATCATTAAGAAATACTTAAATATAAAAAAAATTCTAAATATATTCAGAGGAATAACATCAAAAAAACGATTAAATCATTAATTCATCATTTAGCTGAGTTATTGCATAATTTTGAAACTAAGGAGATAATATCTACTTAATAGAAATATGTTTCATTTAAAAGTTCAGATGTAAATATTTTATATCAGAAATATATCAAAAAGAATTCATATTATTCTAAATTATCAAATATTGTTATAATAAAGTAAAATATATAATTTGTATAGGAAAGAAATTAAATTCGTTTTTTTATTTTTAAATTAATACTTGAATTTAAGAATTATTAAGTAGGATATAGCTAAAAGAGAATTATTAAAAAAGCAATTTGAAATAAATGTATTGCATATTTGATTATTTTTAAAATTATGTTTGTAGTTATGATGAAATCAAATTCAGTGTAACCATTACTAAAGAAAATGAGGTTATCTACACTATACTTGATAAATCAATCATTATATATAATTTTGATTTATCTTAAACTCATTTAGGATATATCAAAAACCTTCAATGGGAGAGGGAATATGGAAGATATTAATGAAAGTTAATTTTTTGATTAAAATGTAGAAATGAAGAGAAATTAAAATAATAGGAGGATATTATGGAAGAGAATGAAAACCTTGATTTAAGAGTGATATTGATCAAACAAAAATGGAACAATAACAATGTTTAAAAAATGTAATTGGTAATGATCCTAGTATGTTGTGTATTTGAAATATTAGAAACAGGAATAAAAGGTAATAATATTTGACACTTCAAATTGTAAGAAGAGAGTATTTAAATTCTTTAAATCCTAAATAAATATTACCAGTTTTAAAAACCTCATGTCCAGTACATTGATCATTTTAATCAAGCAATTCCACTTTGTTGAATTTAATTATCGATATATAAGTATTAAATATGATCTTTTTTTAGCAAACTTTGAAGAGAAATTAATAAATCACTTGAGGCAATAAATTAATTAAAAACAATTAAAAAATTAAAATAAGAAACGATAATAAATTTTCTAATATAAATGAAAATAGTTTTAATATTCATTTTTCAGTTTATAATTCTTATATGGGAACTTTTGTTTCATCTTTACGTTAGACTATATTATCAAGTACTTTTTTCTTTGATGGCTCATGAGTGCAGACACCTTTTCCACAAAAAAATATTTCCCAGAATCCATAAAACACTGTTAATCCATATCCAACCATGACTATTAGACTTAATATCCAATGAAAGAAATCTTTCCAAATAGGTATTTTTTCTATTACAATATCTTTTAAAAGATATTTTACTGCAATTTTTTTCATAAATATCATAAAGAAAAGGCAAATATACACTGCAATTAGAGGTATAATAAAATACTATTATAGGATAGGATCAGTTTCCATAGCAAAGAGTCTAATAGTTGTTGTTATTAATAATAAACTTTAAAACACAAATAAATGATGCATAATAATTTAGATAATTACAAGCCCATAGAAAAGCTGAGCATAAATTAATTCTTGAAGCTTTAATAATAAAATAATGGAAAACTCCAGCTGATCCCACACTCCATCTCTTATTCTATCTTACCCATTCAATAAATTCTTACCATATATTTGAACCAGATGTAGGACCTGATATAGTATGGCAATAAATTGGTTTGATTTTAAGAGATCTTTTAATTAAGGTAAGCCATCTTATATAACAGATTATGTCTTCCATTTAATAAGTTGGATGACAAAAATCTCCTTCAATATATAATTATAATGATGCAGTATATACACTCATAATATTTATGTTAAAAGGTATAAGTGCTCCCATCATTAACATATTTCTAGCTAATCCTGTTATTCTTGTAAAAACACTAAGTTTATCAAGTCCCCAATTATAAAATAAAATTGGTTACCAAACAAAGTTATTTCTGTCTTTCTCTTATAAAATATTCATCATTTAGATATCAAGTAAGTTTTTAGAAAGATTGTATCAACATCAAAATTAGTTACAAAATACTTATTTGGATCAAGGTTAGGATCACTTTTTTTTAGATGAGCTAAGACAGATCTAATACCATAATTATTATTAGAACATTTACCTGGTATTTCTCCAGGTGTTCCATAAGGATGAACAGTTATAATTAATTAACCAAAACAGTCTTTGAATTATTCATAAACGGACTTAATTTTGTTTCTTTATCTGGTGTTTTTTCTTCCATACATACTAACATTATTATCTCTTTGGCAATTCTTTGTTGTGAAACATTTTGAAGGGTTTTCAAAAGTAATTCTAAAGGTTCTTTGTATATGAAAGTTATTAAAATAAATTTAATTTGTGAACTATTTGGAAGTGAAGATTATTCCATGTTATTTTAGAATTTTTTCATTGTTTAATGAATTTTTGATTATGTAAGGGCAGCCAAGATAGTAAATATCATCCATAATGAAGCATAAAAGCAATTAATTCCCAAAGTTGCTTCTAAGGGTAGATAGAAAGGAAAGGCAGCCATAATAATAATGATACCATTAATAATCAAATTCCATCTAAATCTTCCTCCACAAGTTCTATCTTCTTTTTATGTCATTTTAGTGGCTATAGGATTTTCTGGTAATTCGCTACAGATTACAACTCTTTAACTTTGATTTTGTTAATCCATCCAATAGCAAATTTCAATATTTATTTGAATAAATTATAATTGAGAATTTAAAGAATTCAAATTAGTGTTGTTTGGTCATATAAATATTTTATTAAAAATAATTACAGCATTTTTTATATTTTGAGAAAATTATCTAGCTATTAGTTTCACAGATCATATAACATTGTACAACTGACTTTTTTTTGATAGAAGTGTTAGCAATTAAGATATTAACTTATAAAATAAATATGAACTAAATAGGTAATAAAGACAATTTAATAAAAAATAATATAAGATATATTATAAATGTTATAACTGCATTATATATTACTTAATTCTACATCTAAAATCTCTATTTAATAATTTATTACATAAATTAAAATTTATATTTGAAAAAATGTTAGTTAAATAATGCTATGATGATAAGTATACAATTAATTTATTAATACAAGAATACTATTCATAAACACTATTTACACAATAATATTTATTTATATAAAATATTAATTATATTTAATAAAACATTTCCAAATATTAATATAATCTGAACAAAATAAATCTTAAAACTTGTTTGTTATGTTTTTTACAATAATTATTCATTCAATAATTATTCATATTTATTTTTTTAATTACTTATTACAAACAAAACTATTTAAAATAAAAGATTGAAGCTCTGGAGATATGTTCAACTTTAGAGCAATTATTAATTTATGAATTTATATTTTTATTTACCTTGCATTAAATAAAATAGACAGGAATCTATTGAATTAGTTTTACAAGTCCAAATAATTAAGATTCTTAATAAATCTTATAAATAAATTCTAGCAACATATCGTTCAAAATCTTAATATTGATTATCTAACAATTAGCATATTGCTGCTCTTTTATTTAAATTTTATAATGAATATAGTATTTATTTTAAAGTAATTCATAAAATTATCAATTTTCTATGTAAAACTTATTTCTTTTGTTAGAATACTTAAACAAGCATCTTTTTATATATTATAAAGAATTATAATTTGTACGTTAATTAAAAAGATGTAAAAATTTGATATGAATGTTGACTTATAATATTATAATAGATAATGGACCATTAATTCAATGTTAATTTATAGTCTTTGATAGATTGATCGAAATCAGGAGTTTCCACTTCGTCTTCTAAGTCTAAAGAATTTGGAAAAATTATTTTTCATCTAAATAATTTAATATTAATAAAAAAGTATTTAAATTATCTTGTAATAGAGTACTTCTCATAAAAAATAGATTGATAAGTAAAATTAAGTAAGAATTCTTATATTTAAAGATGCTAAAGAAGGATCTTTTAGTTAATTGAGGTTAAATTATTTAAATTCAACTCAGTTTTAAGTTAAAAGTTATTTGAAAATATATAATTAATTGATGTAATTATTCATAGCTTATAGCTCCATTATTGAGGAAAGATTTAAACACTAGCTTTTATGTTATTAGTATTACAATACCATTCTTATTATTAAATACAAGTAATTAATACTTTAAAAAAAGATTATAAAGAATTATGAATTAAATTTATTATATTAAAAAAATATAATTTTTTATTTTAATATAGAATTATTGATTTCGTTTTCAATAGATCTTGGACAAATCTACTAAACTAAATGTAATTATTGCTTGATTTAGCTTAATTTCTCTAGGTCAGACATCACATTATTGTATAATTAAAAAAGATAAAGTTCATTATCAAGATTCCAATTGGTACATAAGTTATTAATCTGATGTAAAATATAATCTAAATAAATATTCATTTCATATATTTTATCAATTTCATTTTTTTTGTATGATTTAATTTTGAAAGTACTTAAGAAACAATCGTAGGCTATCTAATAGATTTTATATTATGTGAATTTTGAAACTTCATTCCTCAAGGATACACCAAGAACATCTATAAATGTTTTCATTTTATGCTATCTTTAAATGTCAAATTAAAATTATCATAAAAGATGTACTCTTTTAAAAACTATTGATTCTCTAGTTTTTTATTCAAATTCTTTAATTGTGATAAGACTTTTTTTTATATGATCTGTAAAGGATTTATCAATAGTATATGTTATTATCTTGTGAGAGCATATAAAAATTTAGAATTGATTTATTAACTAGTATTTTTGCAAAATGCTTTTTATATGTAAGTAAATTAAAAACCCTTATATTTAGGATAATTTCACTGTTATTAGAAAAGTTATTGCTATTAATAGCCACTATTGATTTCATTTGGTTTGTTATTCTGATTCTCAAATTTTTTTTTAAAGTTTCTGTAGCTAAGCATCAGTAAGGAAGAATTTAGTTAGCTTTTTATTAGATATTTAAAGAATAGGATGAGCAATCCATTTAATAATGGTTATATTAACAAATAATTTAAAATGATTTTTATTGTATATTAAATTATTCTATTTAATTTTCTTTATAGAAAGTAAATTTAAAATGAAGATTTTGAACAAACCATATAAAATGAATAGTTATGTATAAACTTAAATAAAATAATACATTAGAGATAAAGGCATTTAAAATTGTTATTGTTTTGGATTAAAAATAATGCAGATAATGTTATTTTAAGAATAATAGGGTTTTGTTATTATTTATCTAAAAATTAATAATGAACAAATACCATAATTAAATTTTTGATTAATTTTTATCATATACTTTAGACCTAGTATTTTTTAATGATTTTGATAAAATTATAAACATAAAAACCTTACAATTAAATAAAAAAACTTAATATAAAATAAAAAAATCATTTTTTATCAATTAAAAATTTGAGATCAATAAAAATGCTATTATAGAGTAGATGAATCATACGGTTTTTAGGAAAACTCCTTAAGTCACTCAGAGTTAGAACAGTAGAATAAATCTAAAACTTACTATAATTGTATTCCTTATTGAATGACTTGAGTGTATTGCTTATTTTGATGCTCTAAGAATTAATATAAGAATACTTTCAATAAACCTTCTCAAAACTAGCAAATTTAGTATGAAATTAAAGAAATCATATAACAGCAGAGTATCTTAAAAAAAAGAAGAAATTTATTCTATTTAGAAACCCAATGTTATAGATTTAATGCAATTTGACTTGTTCATTGTATATGGAATTTAAGAATACTCAAATCGACTTTTATTCTAAGATCCAGATTGTCTTTATCTAAAAAAACTTTTAATTGAAAAATATTAGATAGTCAAAAAAAGAAAATATAGAGAAAATACAATCAGGCTTTCTAATATGAACGATTGTATTCTTATATCTAGAATTAAAGATGGCATAATTAACTGAAAATATGAAAATTATACAACATATGTTATAGCAGCTTAGCTCAAATTGACTTCTGATTAAAATAAATATATAGAAACAATTAATTTGCCAGAATAAAACTAAAAGGATTATTTTTTTGTTTCAATAAGAATCATATGTTCTGGATTAATACTTTTATTGACAATGAATGCCTTATTTTCAGTGTATTTTATTAATTTTAAAGAATTATTGTAATGTTTATTATGGCAATTTTGATACAAAGGATAGAAGTAATAAAAAATCTATCTCATCAAAATTAAAAAAAATATAATAAATCAATTGTTTTTTCAATAGTTTTGAAGAATGGCAGTTATGTATCGAATACTTTTCAGGTTGAAAAACTATAAAGATGATTGAATTTTGATAATTATTTGCTTATTAACATTTAATATTCCATATTAAGCCCTGAAGCAGCTGAACTTTTATTCATTAGAGAACATTGATAAAAATCCCATAAAATATTAAAATAAGATTTTAAAATCATTAAGACTATTAAAATTTTTTAATTTAATGATATAAATTGACTCTACATTTCAAATTTCTTCGAATACTTCGTTTCTCTGAATTTCAAAAACCCCATCTTGTCATCCTTCATCCATTTAGATTCTTTTTTTTATCCATTCCAGCACTAAGTTCCTATTATCTTTAGATTTAAGGACATAATCTTTCCACTTGTGATCTTATTAGTTTTGCTGCAAAAATAAAAGGAGACAATCAATCTTTCTATATTTTCATCCTACTTGAATAAATCGAGTTTGAAAAACAATAACCTAATAAATGAGTTATAAATGCAAAACTACTTATTTTATTTCAATTATATGATAACACTATCTGTGAAATTTTACATAATTTTGCTCTGAGTTTTTAAATAATTAAATAGGTTATTTTTCAAAATGGTACTTATATTACTAATTATTTTATTTTCCTTTGGTTATTTTGGGCTTAATGCATCTGAGAACTAATTGCTCTTGGCTAGGAAAATCTTCACCTTCTTCGATCTCGAGCTCAAAAAGATAAAAAAATAATAAATTTTTAAAAAGAATCTTCAATAAATTGAAATAAAAGACGTAATTCTAGGAAATTATATTAATAATTAAAATTCAAATTGCTAGCTTAAATTTAAATCTTATTTAATTTCAATCAGTGTCAATAACATTCATCTAATAACTATTAATGCAATCTAAAGGTATAATCTACAATTTAATATGATTCTTTTTTTTTTACTTAATGATAACATTACTGATAGATATCCTTCTAATGTAAAATCAATTTATAATTACATTTTTTATTATTTATTCTTAAGCTTTTATCTCGTTACACACAAGATTTCACCTGTATAAATTTACTTTTATGTAATCATTTAATTTTAACTTAACTTCAAGAATTTATATTTTGGAAACTACTTGCATTAAAATTTAAGCATATAGTTCCTGCTTTATGATTATTAAATATCTAATTAGCTAATAATAATATCTTTCGACAAATATTTCATATTATTATTTAAATATTTTTCATTAAACACTTTATATATCTTCCTGTAATTCAAAATATTTTGGAAAGCAATTGAACTGCATTTGTCATTTAAAATCTGTTACATATTAAATTGATTTAAAGGTGTTAGAAGCCACCTGTAGTTTCTCCTGGTATTTTTATACTTTTGTTTTTTTGTGACATATGAAACTTTCATAAAAACGTAACATGATTTAAAAATAAAAAAATATTATTCTTATTTTAAAAATACCATTTAACCTAATTATATATTTTCAATCTATTTATGCTGTATTTTTGTATTAAATTTAACAGTATCAATATCAAGTAAAAAATAAATAATAACTCAATACTGTAATTTATATCAGTGTACATGAATTATGATCCAAGAGATACATCTACAACTTGAATAAATAAGGAGTATTTTTATTAAAGGTTGAATCTTATAACTGAACTCTACATATTAAGATTATTCTTATTTAATGGAAGAAATATAAAGAACTAAAAGGAAATGTGATAACACTATTGTAATTTATCATATTCAAAATTATTATTTACTTCTTAAAAAATTCAAGATTAAATTGAAAAAAAAATTTAATCAATTACATTATATTTTTTTTAATTAAAATGTATTATTTATTTTACAATAAAAAGTAAATAATAAATTAAATTCATTAAACATACTTTATCAATTTAAAAAATATTCATAATATAACTTTCATTCAGCTGATATTTAAACTTATATACTAATATCTATAATTGATTAAAACTACATTACGATGATAATATATAAAAATATCATAATTGACTGCAAATTTTAATAAAAAATTAGATTTAGTTGATTGTAAATACACTACTATCTTTTTAATTATTAATTTCTATATATTTTAACATAAAATATATCTTTAAAAATATAATCTTACAGCTGTTAATAATATAGTTGTCTTTAAGTGAAAGAATCAATTTATCAAAATTAGATATGAAAATAATCATTAATCATTTGCAATCATAGGTAATTAAATTTCTCCTTGCTTCTAATGTTTATTCTATATTTTACACTTTTCCTTTCTGTTTTTGATACTTCCTTCTAAGAATCTTAATAAATCATCTTTATCTATAGATAAATCCTATTCTAAAATGTGTTTGAAGTTTGCTCTTTATTAATGTTACTCACTAATTTTCCCTCTGTGGATAATAACTATCAAAATCCATCATGTATTTTTCGCTTTCGTCTCCATTATTATTTCTCTTTTTTCTTTACTT